GGAAGTCCGTCCGCCCGGCGAGATTTGAGGAAGGACGCTAACTATTTTCAAAGCTTTTGCTACAGAGCGGGCAAAAGAATCCCAGCTGTGCAGCATGATTGGATTGATGGTTCATATTTTCCCGTAAGATCGACTATGGGATACCATCCAGTTGTTTTGATAGTCTATATGAATCAAAGCCTGGACACATGATGTGCTATGAAATACATAGACATACCATGATTACAAATCTCCGCCAAGTCTGAGTGGAGCACGGAATTCCGTGTCACAACCAAGTGACCAACCAGATGGCTCAATTCTTAAAGGGGGTCAATAGACTCCGGGGCACTCTTTAAGGATATAAGATAGAAGTGTCTGTGCAAAATCTCCATGTTCGCAATCTTCAATTGCTATCAGTCTTTCTTAGAATCAATTCGGCACCTGTAGGAAATGGGAACACAAAGAATTCTCGTGGTAGGCGCGACAGGACGGACTGGAGGTGCGATTGTCGATGGTCTCCTCGAAGCCGGCGAGACAGTACGTCACATGAAAAGCAGACCCCTTTGAATCGATTCTATATCTCACAGAACGTTGAAGCACTCGTTCGCCCCACGTCGAGAATGTCGTCTATCTTACGACTCAAAGAGCGTGGACTGAAAGTTCATGTCGCCGAGATTAAAGACAGCACCAAACTCGCCGAGGTTTTGGTCGGCATACACACCGTGATTAGCGCCATTGGACCAGGCGCTCAGTTTGAGCAGATTCCGCTCGCTGATGCGTCGAAACGCGCCAACGTCAAACTTTTCATACCTTGCGCGTTCATCACTGTGTGTCCACCTGGCGGCGTTATGTGGATACGTGATCAGGTATTCATATTTGTTGTCAAATAATAAGAGAGCCTGACTGACGATCTTTCTCTACACAATAGAAGGAACAAACCTATCAATAAATTCAAAAGATTGGTCTGTCATTCACAATTATTGATGTGGGATACTGGTACCAAGCATCATTTCCGACGCTTTTGTCTGGCCGCGTGGATTATGCAAGTCTAGTAGTTCCCAATGTGACGATCTCGGGCGACGGGAATTTGAAGACAGCGCTAACCGACCTGCGAGACATTGGTCCATACGTTGCCACGATTATAACAGATAGTCGAACCGTCAACAAGTACGTCTTTTGTTACGGAGACTTACTGTCGCAAGAAGAGATTTTCGCGATGCTTGAAAGTCTCTCGGGGGAGCCCATTGAGAGGCAATATGTTCGTCTGGTTTCACGTTTCCCCCACCTAAAGCATCAGTCTCTGTGAATCAATAAACCAGCGAGGAAGACTAACCTTGGGTCGATACAGATCGGTCAAAATCAGCTCCTAAGCTTTCTTGAAACGGCCAGAAAGACCTTTAGCTACGATCTTTCCGATATGCAGCAGGCTCTGACTCTGATAAGTCTCGAATACTCTTACAGCAAGTTCGTCTGCGGTCACAATTGTCCAGAGTACGCGAAGTCCCTCGGATATCTTGATGCGCGGGACCTATATCCGAACTTCATTCCTCGATCATTCGAGGCATTTGCGAAAGAGCTATTAGACGGTAGAGCGGCAAAAATCTATGAAGGAATGAGTATGCAAGCCTAGTTTCTGCGAAGTACAATGAGAATACCTGATAGAAAGTGCAGTCTTTCAGTGGTACAGGTATTCATTGATTTAATCCAGAAATAACCAATCATCAATGCTCCAAATATGCAAAGTCACTTATATAGGTACCCGTTGTTTTGATAGACTTTAGAGGACAAGATACTTTTAGGACTTGGAGGGCCTCGCTGCATGATCTTGACATTAAACACTAGTCTCGATGGTCTTGTAGTTCTAGCGCTACAATTAAGTTGCCTTAGAAAAACGTACAAATGATAGTCATTTCAAGAGGTGACCATTTTACTTGAGACAGGCTAACTTGAACGAGTCAAAGACGAGCAGCAGCCACTCTGCTTGCAGGAGTCCATCTATTAATTACGGATTGAGAGGGAAGTCTGATATAAAGGTTAAGGCTGGACAGAAAAGCATAGGTGAACGCTTTGAATTTGGTTCAATGATCTCGTAGGTAGATCCACCCAACGTTCCAACTTGATTCATGATCTAGGAAAATAACAAAATAGTCAGCGATGATTCGGACTACCATAACGTCTATATTGTGACGATGTTTAGATTTGACCACCCTACTACAATATGAACGTACCTTGTCCATCATAGTTGAATCGAAACCTGTTTGTTTAAGGTCTGATGCCAGCTGAAAGGCAACAGTGCGTACAAGCTGATTTGTACTCCCAAAGAAGACAAATATTCGAATCAAGAACCTGAGGTTCTCCTCACTTTGTTGACTCTGATTCCTGCCGGCTCCAGCAGCTTGCAAGTCGTCGAGAAACACTGACGCTGCCATATAAGCTGCAAATGACAGAAGTGGATTGCGGATTGCAGTCCCGACACTGTCACCTGCTGTTTGGAAAATACTGAGAATGTTCTCTGCGGCCGGAAGGAGACGGGCTTGGCTCTGGGCAATTAAATAAGATGGCATTGAGTATTGATGCATTAAAGCCATGGCGGTGCGGTGTATTTGAATAACACCCATGTTGGTGCTCATGTGAACCAGAATCGCGTCGAGACTTCGCGGATTTCGAGAAAACTGAAGCTTCTCGGGAAGGAAAAGGGTTAGCATCCCTAAGTTTTTGTCAATTGCTCTTTGGTTTTTCCAATATAGCCCATTCTGCACATCTCCTAAACTACCATCATCAGATGAAAAGCGGGATGTATGATCGAGAGCGTGGAGCAGTTCGTTGGCAGCGAGAATACGGAAAGCAAGAGGCGACATCCGATTGCCTCGGCCTTCCTCTATCTCAAGTAGACCTTTGGAGAGAGGAATCGCCGCTTCCTCGACGCCGGCAGCGAACGCCTCTTCTGATGAAGGAAGGTTGGTCCGGATCTGACTAGCTTAGCACACTTTATCATGGACCCCAAGATGCAATGCGCTATGACACAGGGACTGTGGGGCTTACATGGCGCTCATCAATCAGCGACGGCCAGCCCGTTGTAGCTGTGAGATATCGATCTGCCAGGAAGACAATCCACCATGCTCGCCGTCTCTCTTCTGCCTCGATATAGTTCACAGGTGGCGGCAGAGGTAGACCCCAACGCAGTGGCTCGGTCTGTTCAATGTCCAGTTGGTGCAGTTTGAGCATCTGTGCAATCCGCACGCTGCGGCAAAGACTTGTAGATGCTCTAGTGAAATGAGCATGCACATGACACTCGTACCCGGATATCAAACACCAACACTGGGCGTGAGCCAATGTCATGTAATTCTCTCCTTGTCCCTAGTTCAAAAGTAAGCTTGTATTTGAAGTGGTCTAAAACTACCTTGATTCTCAATGACAACGGCCGACAGACGGCTTGGGTATGCTAGGTCAAAATGAAGGAACATAGGATCATAGACACACCTTCAATTCATCCGCCTCAGCGTAGACTCTTGCACGTTTGAAGAAGGGCTCAGCGAGGTGCCTATAGTTATCGTTTGTTGCCGCTCCTGAAGCCATGACAATGTACAATAGACACATCGGTGGGCGCATGTGAGGAGGGAGGCGTAGGGACGTCGTATAGCTAGCCTGGTGGAGTAAGGGTGCACCAGCATGGACATTCTGAAAATACAGAGCAGTTCTGCCAGATGATGATGATTAGATGTTTCATCGCTGCATAGGTCATGTGCACAAAACATGTGTGATCTTACAGTTCATCGATGAGGTCGAATGACGGAAGCTGCTCGAAGAGACCTAGATCAATCAATTGGCCAGCTGACGGTTGCGGAATATCAGCTCCGACTGGTAAAGTTGGATTGAAAGGTGTGTTTTGTTCGGTGAGAAGCATAGGGTCGATGCCAAACAGCTCCGGTCCTTGGAATGATAGAGGCGGGAGTGCTTCTTCGAGGACCACATTGCTTTGGCCTGGTGCTAGATCTTGCCCGGTGTCAATTTTGGCGGCGCTTAGGAGCTCTTCAAGTTGTTCTTAAAGGTCTTGTAAGCTTTAAAAGTTCCCCGTAGGTACAAAGGCATTCATGTATGGTCTCAGCCCACCTATTCTTTCTTCTAATTCCCGCACGGTCTTTCGCCGGCCAATCGCTCTTTGTCGTGATCCGGGATACACACACGGTTCGTTCTGTTTCAAACAGCGGTCGCAAGCCGGCCACTGTCTGTCGCACTTGAGCTTTCGATTGCGACATTGTATACAGGACAGTTGATTTGGTGCAGAACTCTCGCTGGGGCCAGCGTCGCTTTCAGGTTGCAACGGGAGTTTTCCTTTTTGCATCATGCTTCCTGCACGTAGAAGATACTCGAGAGACGAACTCTGACAGTCTACTTAGCTAGTGATGGGTGATTACAATTTTCAGGAGAAGTGACTTAATCCGCCAGTGGTAGAAACAATCGTAGGGGAGTTCGAGCCATCACAGCTGACTAAATATCCACGCCAAGACTGCATAAGCCAATTAGAAATGGGTCGGTGTCCGGAGCGGGGTGTAGGAGTGAGATCCTGGTACACCCTACAAGCGTGTATTGGAGCACTTGACAAATTAGCGGCTAAGCTGCAATTTGAGTCAGAGAGCTAAAACGGTGTACTTCTAGATTGTACGATACAGATAGCACTCGTATGTAGCAGCTTATTAACAGATCATCCAAGAACGGTATCACTTCGTTCAATACTTACACTAAGACCTCGCACTCGATGGATCTTCGGACTCCGAGATTAGGAATGCAGAGAATGAAGAAGAAGACAGACGGTGCTTAAGTCATCGATGTCAAAACTATTGACAAAGAGCTGGAAGAATATAAAACGTTCTAACTGTCAGCTGAGATCCGTGGTTATTTGACACATTTCTCTGTATATCCACATTGAAACCCCTATTGATCACTTACCTAACTAGCTGCTCTCTGCACCTGATTGAGCTCTTTCTGGTCATCAAATTTGATCCGCGGTATTCTCATATATCATGGCGAACATTCTAGCTGTATTTGGCGCAACTGGAAATCAAGGAGGCTCCGTGATACGAGCAGTGCTAGCCGACCCTGTTCTATCCAAGAGCTTCAAGATTCGTGCTATCACTCGTGATGCGACCACTCCTTCCTCACAGGATCTGGTAAAGCAGGGCGTTGAAGTCATTACCGTAAGTTGTACGAGTGATTGCGAATACTTGAGTCTGCTGAAATGCTTACTGCTTAAATAGGCGGACATGAACTCAAAATCGTCCCTGGCAAAGGCACTCGAAGGTACTCATAGTGTCTTTCTCGTCACTTTACCCGACTTCGTGACCCCGCCGAACGAGGGCACCGAGCTTGACCGTGGTAAAAACGTTGCCGACGCCGCTAAAGATGCTGGTGTGCAACACGTCATATTTTCGTCCCTTATAAATGTTACCGAAGCCTCAAATGGCAGGCTGCCGCATGTGGTTCACTTTGACCGCAAGGCAGATATTGAACAGTATATACGATCCCAGGGAACGCCGGCCACCTTCATCCAGCCGGGCTATTACATGAGTAATTTCACCAACCTACAATTGCTGAGAAAGGGCGAGGATGGTACATACACATTGACTGGGCCCACGAGTGCTACGAAGGCTCAGCTGCCGCTCTTCTTTCCAGAAGACGACATGGGTAAGTTTACAGTCTCTATGGAAGTCCTAAGATGATCCTCTATTTGGGTTCTTTACAGTATGAATTATGACGCTATGGCCAAGCTAATATCAGAAATCAGGTAAATACGTTGTAGCAGCACTAAAGAACCGTGACAAGGTTCTGGGGAAACAAATCCCCGCCGCGAGTGATTATTATACTCTGACCCGCATAATGGACGAGTTCCGAGAGGTCACGGGGAAGGATGGTCAATATGTTCAGATTGACCAGGATGTCTACAAAAGCTTTTTGCCTCCGCCAATTGCGCAGGAAATTCTAGAAAATGAAGTTTTGTGCGAGGATCCTGGCTTTTTCGCGGGTGCTTCGCTGATTGACGGTCATGAGTTATTGGCTGTTGTTGGCCTGACTCCGACAACATGGAAAGAATATTTGCAAAGCCGGAAAGAGCTTTTTGTATAATATCTTGGCCGTCAGTGGTTAACAGAGCCGCAGTATCTAGACCATCAAACTGAAGCTATAGATAGCCCCGGTTTCAATATGTTGTGAGAGTCGTGAAATTAAGGGACACGACCTAGGATTATGAAGTCTTTGGTAGACGTATAACGTCAGTGAATCAGTGAATAAAGAGCCAAGGTGAACTCAATGAAGACAATGACCAATAGAGACCACACACATTCTTTGCCATGGATCTGAGTACCGTTCCTTTTTAGTCTGACCGAAGTATGTTCCCCTTTTCTTAAAAGCAAGATCAAATCTCCGCTCACTTTCTCGTCAGATCAGTGGAAAGAGTATGTCAAGGCTCAGGAGTTATTATCAATGAAGAAATCAGCAAACGAGATCAAGGAATACCCTAATCATGGTATCCCATACAATCCTTGGTTGTATCAGATATTTAGAACAACTAGGCTAGAACCTGTCACTAGAAGTACATTGAATCATAACCAGCTTTGCTTTCCCACACTATGTTGCTATTGGAGCCCTTTAGAAACCGACAATTGTCAATCGGCGTAATGGTTGAATCCGCAAATGTCATGAAAACGCAGTGGTTATTTTTCTGTATAATCGTTAGAATCTCAGCACCCAAATCCAGTAGTATTGCCCCTGTAAAGGTAGTAGTATGGGAACTATAAAAGACTTACATCACAAGCGTCGAAACATTGTGCAAATGTATTGACAGTGAGTGTACTGACGGTAACAGAACTACTGCCAGGAGTCCTAGCTTTGTAGTTCTTACCACAAGCAGCATTATACTTGTAACCAGTACTGTGAATAGGTGTCTTGCTAGATCCACTTGTGCAACCTCCTGATCCATCATACACCGGACACTCAGATGGATCCGCCAGGAGGTGTATTCCAGATGGGCCACCAGTTTGGACCAAAGCCTTCGCAGAATCAATATACTGGTTGCTCGTCAATACGTCACTGCTGACACCTCCTCTCGAGAACATAGCGCAATTCCCCGTGAACCTGGAAGAGTCAAATGACATATAATTACATGCATAGATGTTGTCGCATTGCTGAAGACAGTCTCGAAAGCTTGTCGCGGTGAATGGAGAGCCTGCAACATCACTGCCCTGCGCAAAGCTGTAGGAAGAGCTTCAAAGCTTCCGTTAGCCTCACTGTCACTTTCACCTGAAATAGGGAAATAGCTTGACATACCGACAAGCGACTAAATAACTGTCTTGGTAAGAAGTATCTCCAAGCACTGCTGCGCCACAAATTCCTGTGCCGCAAGTGCCATCCCGCGCTGTCCCAGGCGTGAAGGCTGAATTAGCTGTTTCGCTATTGACGATGGTGATATCATCGTAGAATCCAAACAGCTGGCAGTTGTTGGAGCACTGCGCGGAGTCGAATGTAAAGGAACCACAGGCGGAGTCGATCTCGCATGTGTTAAAGCAATCCTGATAAGAAGATGCAGTAACAGCAGACAAAGAAGACTCGCCAGAGTACGCAAGGCCACACTCAACCTGGTATTGCCTTGAGTTCACTCCTGCAAAAACCGAGCCGCATGCCTCAGCGGACGGGGAAGGGAGCGAGCACTCGGTGATATATATGGTCGTAGATGGGGCGGGCACAGTGGTCGTGCTCTGGGTAACTCCTACACAGGAGCATGCACTCGAGTATCTTACACTGCCAGAACAAGCAGAAGCGTATGTAGGGATCGACGTTGGGTAGGCTGTTACGGGGCTAGCAGACGGGGCGATAGACTGTGTGGAGGTGAACAAGTTCGTTGGCAGGGCGGTCGAAACGATAGTGGAGTATATCGTACTTCGAAAATGATCAGACCTGAGATTACGTCGCGGGAAAATCTATCTCAGCACTTACCTTGTCTCAGGAGTCACCGTAGCCAAGAAGTAAGAGCTGCAATCTGCAACACCTGAGCGGGTTGGAAATGCAGATGCCCTTACAGCTATGGGTCGCACCACGTCAGCGACCTGAAGGACGCGGATATGAATATGAATCATGGCGATCGCCTACCTCGGAGACAATTATCGGCATTGCAGCCCCCAGATCCAGTTGCTGAGACAGAGCTCAGTAGGCATCCAATGGCTACGGTGGAAACGAAGCGCATCTTGTCCATGATTTACCCCAGTTTGTGAAAAAGAGAACGCTGGAGGAGATCGAAAATCTCGTGCTGCTTGGCCAGAAGCTCCTTAATATCCCCATGCTCAGTAGCTCTCCGAATTACATGTTGGCGGATTCCATCTTCGACTTGGCACCGCGGCCAGATCATTTGAAGATGGCCCGTGGCTACTAGAATTCAATAATTGCTTTAACATTCTGCATCAGCGCGAGCCGCCATTCTTAGTGGTCACTAATACCATCAATAGCCCGGCCTAGCCAAGGGAGCTGATTGCCTCGAACGGGTTAGTTTAGTGAGCTGAGCCATCCAAGCGCACTCAATTAGTGCCAGGCTGAGACCTATGCCTACCGCAGAAGCGCTAGGCGTCTCCGGTTGAGTCTAACAAGCGCATCGTAGATTCTGGACCAGGTACCCACGTGAGGATCTTGCAGGGAGTTTTCTTTCCCTCCCGAGTACGAATCAAATGAAACAGCTGAGAGTTAAGATGCTCTTGACTATAACACATTGTGAGGCTAACTACTTCTCCCATCGGGGCAAGAGAAGAGGTAAGTCGAGACAAGGTCGATTTTTTTTTTATTTTTTTTAATCAGCTTTGGCTCAGATCACTCTATCCAATACACCATCAAATACACCATCAGATACACCATCAGATACACAATGAGACATAATACCATTGTGTCTCTTCACAGTAACCAATTTTAACATAGCAAATGTTCTCAATCAATAGTCCTCTTTCTGGTGCTTCCTTATAGGCTTTTCTGACAGGACCAACTTCCACAGCATAGAGTCTGGAGGTTCTTGACCGGGTCGATTTTATACACTAACAAGATCAAGAGGACCCTATTCACGCGAAAACACCTAATCATTGAACCTAGTCTTGCATAACAGCTCACTTAGGTATTTTGACAACATCACCAAGTGATAAGCATTATACTGGTGGGATATTGTAGGTGTAAAGTTGAGTGCAATAAAGCAGGCTGCGGCAATTGTCAGATTACAACGGACGACTCATGTGTAGAGAGCTGTGGTAAGGCTAGCCGAGACAGGATGTGGTGCCAATTCTCTAGATACATTAGCAGCATATTCCTATCTCTCACATAACTTTTTTGAAATCTGAGGAAAGTAGTTTCAGTGTTGTTCTTGATGTGTCGCTGAGTATAGGATTATGCGGAGTACTATTTGACCCTTCACATGAGTAGACTAAATCTCTTCCCATTCATATAGACCTCATCATTTTCATCTAACCATTTGACAAGTTATCCTCATGTGCGCAATTTGAACCGCATCACTGCAGTCCTTTGTAGATCACACATGGATCGCCAACGAGCAACCTGTCTCAACCTGTACTCAGACCTGCATCTCCTCTCAGTGCTTTCGGGGTGCATTTTGTCGCGTCCTCCCCTCACCTTCCTGACCTCGCCTACTCATCATCGTTCACATCGACTTCTGTTTGCTTCCACTTACGAGCCTGGACACGACGCTTGAACAAAATGTCGATTTCGCGATAAGATCGGCCCTTCATCTCAGGCAACCAGATCCAAGCAAGGACGAAGCAGATGAAGCCTGTGGCACCCCAAACGTAGCCGCACTTGCCGCCAAGGTTTCCTCCCTGCAGTATATCAGCATTTGTTATGGTAAAATTCGTGGAGGCAAAAGGACATCCTTACCGTCGGGTTAAGCATGTAACTTCCCAGGAAAATGCAAGGGATCTCAACGATGTAATACGCAGCGCGACCCATTCCAGTTGTTAAAGGCCTGAGGCGGATGGCTGATGTCTCTCCAATGATTACCCACGAGGCGGGTGCCGGTCCCAAGGTGAATAGGACGGAGATAATGAGACCTAAGGAGGCTTGTGCCAAAGAGGCCGAGTGTGCCTTCGGATTTCCAATAGAGCCTGCAATACCAAGAGCGATCAAGAAACCAGTGTTGATGAGTGTGCCCCAGACATAGATAGTACGCCGGCCAAGGTACGAGGTGAGAATCCAAGAGAGCATGACGAATATCATCTGAAGAGCCGAGGTGATGAGACCCAAGGCAAACGCAGTATTCGTTGGCATACCAGCCTCTGTGTTCGAATCAGTACATGTATCCACTTGAAACAAGATCGTGAAACTTACGCTCGAAGAAGTAGACGGCCTGATTGGCGATGAGGTTGCCAGTTAGGTTTTGTGCCGCGTAGACGCCGCATACAATGAGTGTGCGGTACAAGTCTGTGCCTTTGAATAGTTCCAGATGATTAGGAGACTTCTCAGTTTTCTCGAGCTCAACGACACGTCGCATCATGGCTACAGTCTCGGTAGGCCGCGCTGTCGCTTTACGTCCAAGGCGTGCGACTGCCTTTGCTGCTTCTTCAAGACGTCCCTTGCGGACCAGCCACCAGGGCGACTCGGGTGCAAGGAACATGAGAATAGCGAGCGGGGTGGGGAACATCCATTGAAGCGCAATGGGAATCCTAATTTCTTTTCGTCAGCAACAGACTTGCTATCAGCACGAAGGAGTTCATACTTGTAGGCGTCCGGGTGTTTGATTGGGTTGTAAACGTAGGTAACGGCACCAACGATGATACTGCCAATTGCCCAGAACATCTGAAGCATTTGGGTAGCGGGGGCTCGCAACTGAATCGGCACGATCTCACTGCAGTATGCCGGAGCGTTTGCAATGAAGATACCCCATGGCAAACCCTCGAGAAGTTGGGCTACAAAGATAACCGGCATAGATTCGGCGAAATAGAATGCGAAAATGAAGACGTTCAAGAGCATGAGGCCGCTTATGGTTGCCCAACGATATCCGATCCAGCTGGTAAGTGGACCGGCAAGGAACACACCAATCAGGGCTCCGAGCTGCCCGGACACTTGGAGAGCAGACTGCCACTTTGTAACGATGACGAAGCTGCCGTCGGCCTGCTGTACGCCGTACTTTTCTTGGAACGCAGGTAGGGCGACGAAATTGCCGATGAGGAACACATCGTACGACTCCATAATCTATCCGTGATGTTAGCTATGGCCTGCTGTAGAAGAAATATGATAAAGGAGAAAGTCCAAACGCAAAAAGGGCAGCTTACAATCGTGAAGGACATCACAAACGCCCAAAAGGAAGCCATGGGATACGCTCGGACAGCCTCCAATACTCCCATTCTGTGTTCCGCATTCTCTGCCTCGATGGCATCTGCCTTGTAATCGGCAAAGGCCGCTTTCGTGTCGAGGTCGACATCATGGCCACGTTCCACTAGGGATACGGCCTTCTCAGCGCCGCCAGATTCTTTAGATTCGACGGTGTCGCTCATTTTGGCTGTTATCTCTGCCTGGACGGATAACGTGGAGTATGGAAGACGAAGAGTAGAAAAGAATGAGAGACAGGCGAAATATAAACCACAATGAAGGGGAAAGGGTAGCACTATAGTAATCTATCCTCGTCGGACAGCCGCCGTAGGATTACAGGCCCACTTCTCCGTTCTGGGGCAGATCCGCCTGGGGTCGCGGGGTAGTAAGCCCCCGAGCGCATATGGGTCATGTTCTTCAGAATGGAAGAGTTCGGAGAATCTAAGAAGATCACCGTGTCATTAGGACCCGAGCTTAGAGGACCAGTGATGGCATAGCTCTTTGGTGCGGGTCGTCTCTACGGAGTGCTGCATAGTAATTACGCTGTACTACGTAGATGCTTGTGACCGCACTAGCATGTCAAGAACAGGTTAGTAGATACCTGGGTAGGTAGCTCGAGAGGCAGGTAGCAAGCCAGTTTCGGAGTACTCGAGTAACGTTGGTCTCGGTGCTTTACTCGGCGCTTTAACCCATTCGGTCGTCGCTGTCGTATGAATTTCGGGCGAGTAAGCAAGAACGGGCCAAGAGGCCAAGGGGGACTTGGGGACAATCAAGGAAGGCTAAGCTTCCTTGCCAACCCCGCACCCGTTGTCCCCGAGATGCTTGGACTGTTTCGCTCCCCAACCCCTGGCCAGCGGTCTGGCACCCGAGCAAGGCATGTAGCTTATTGGACCGCCTATAACCGGGAACCTGCAACCTCACTTGCGAGATCCTCCTCCGAGCCCATGTGTTCCCCAAAGACAAAGAGGCCGAAGGTGCCAATTTGGACGCTTAAAAGGCAAGGAATGGCCACTTGTATGAAGGTGGAAGGTGGGAGGTTGATTGTGGGGTAGCGGGTTGAACTTCCCACAACCAATCACCATTTGCTCAGTCCTCCACTGCAGTGAGATTCCAGATGCACAGGTGGTCGACCCGCGTGTCTTGGCAACAGTTCTGCGAAAACACGGATAGACGTACAAACTCCGAGAGCTGAGTCGTGATTAAGACATTCTTTAGCAGCCACTAACCACGACTCGTGAGGAGTTGGTGTCTGGATGATCATATACGTTAATCTTGTTTTTTCATTTGCAAAGAACACCTGGCATTCCACCTCCTACCGCCTTATCAAGGTTAGAGATCAGGTACACGAATTTCGCCACCACACAACCGCACTAGTCACTATTTTACCAGGTAACACTAGTCGGAAATGATAAATGTCTCTCAAATCCTCTTCCTAAGCATCATGAAGGAAGTAGGTGAAAGTTTCTGTCGGCAACTCATCGAAATAGGCCGAGGTGACTGCGTAGTGCTCGGATAGATTCAGCAGGAAGGAGGTGGTGTTACAAATATGCGATGCAATTATCCAATAAGAATGAGCGCAAACCACTAGTAATCTCAGACATGAGGATCCACCAAAATAGAAAGAGCGCAGAACTGCGCTTGAGGCTGGTCGGCCGCGACAATTGGCCTTATTATCTCAGTCATCTTGCCAACCCATACCATGCACTTCCCATTGGCAGCGGCTGCGGTGGCAGTAGGGTCATAGCTAGTCTTGCCTTCTTTGCTTCGGCGCCAGACGAAGAACTGGAGCCCCTGATACGAGGCTATTGGTGCGGGAGATATTTCAAGTCGTTCACTGGGAACCAGGTAATCATACGTGAGGTTGTTTCAACTGGTTACATTAGCAATGGCTTCAGCAACAGTGTTGACGCTGAAGGCAAGACCTTTCATGGACGGCGTCGACAAATAGCATGCGACCGAGCAGGATGTGTGCAAAATGAGAGCCATGCATGTATACTACAATTACGTCACCAGGGGCGTTACTTTGAAGGATCTGAACGAGCATTGCAGATTCGAGAAAGCGAACTTGAGTACTGACGGGTGGACCAGGAGTTAGCTGAATTCTAAGCGACTTCATAATGTGGACTTGAGGCTGTGGACCCTGATCTAGCGAGCAGTAGAGTGGTTGTGTGAGCATTGTAGCATGGTAAGTTGTATGTTGTATCACCAAGGTAGTAGTGATTACATGAGAGTGTACCCGGCTTCTATATAACGGTGAGTCTCTTAGAAGACTCAGGTAAGCTTGAAGTGAGTAGGGGAACAGGGTTTCTGAGAGATTTCGAATTCGCAGTAGGACAAACCAAAGCTTTACTACAGCGAAAGGGTGCCAGACAGTACAAGAACAGATTTATTAACGCCGAGCTAGAAAGGCTACGAAAATAGAGATCGTTGATCAGAATTCTCACGAAGAACAAGAAGCTTTGCAAATTTGTGAGAAGTAACTCATGACCCAAAGAGTTACCTTAGAAAGAAAATCTAACAACATTGATACATAGTAAGAACATGCAAGCAAGAGCCATAAGACTAATGAATGGAAAATAATCCTAAACTAATTACCTCCTATCTTTCTGAGATAATGACGAAGCTCAGCAAATTCGAAAATCCCCATACACCAACAAGGCAAGCCTACAAGTCTCAGGCTTTTCTCCAAGCTGAACAATGCCAATTAAGGGCCGAAAAGACATAACTCAACTCAAGCCCCCTGAAGAAGTTTGGAGGTAGATAAGGAGAAAGAAGAAAAGTTGATGAGAAAGGACAAATTTCTAGATGTATTTCGAGAGGCAACTGCGATAGAACGAGAGGTGTCCACGAGGAGGAAGAGATTAAGTGTTAAAGTCAATTCGTCAAGCTAGCCAAGTTTAGTTAAATCGACGTTTAAGCAGCGCCGCCACTAAAAGCGCCTAGGTTAAGTGATTAAGAGAAGGACTACTCAAGCTACATGCGACATTTTATGTATCGTAAGAGTGGGAACGGAAGAAGCAATGATGGCAGATTGTAATTGAACTCGATTTTCTACCGGTATGATCATCATCTGTCTTAAAATGCCATCACGTTTCTTGTAAGATTGTTTGAGTTCTTCAATATGATGATCGGCAGAATTTCAGTCATGTAAAAGGAATGTAGGGTAGAGCAAGTTCTCGACAACACAATGAAATGCTTTCGTGATGTCCCTCGAAATCATGACAGTCAGGTAATGCTCTCTATCATAAAACTAAGCTTCCATAAAGATTGAGCACATGTGAATGGAGGTCGCACTGGCGTGCGCAGGCTGGCCCCCATGCCAGCATCTAAGCCTGATGCCAGTTCAGTTTGCAAGACCCTTGTTCATCATCAACACGGGAAATCAGTGAGCATTATTTTGATGCCAAAAGGAGTTTTCGGTATTAGAAGGCTCGACCGGTGGCTTTTCTATAGTCAAATTCGTCCATCTCAAGCACGGAGGACTCATGCACAGGACGATTGTGGTAGTTGATTGTGACCACCGACGTCTTCATAATCTTGGAATCACCAGCCAAGATACTCTTGTCGCTTGCCGTATCGTTACTTGAGGCATCTCGTGAACGAGACCGAGCGTGTACTGTGACAACTGTAGTCTGATTGATTGAACGGTGTGGTCGAGTCGCCGTACTGCTCTTTAGATTGGACTGATTATAATATCGACGACTTGAATTTTTCCTTAACTCGGAAAAAAGGGCGCGTAGAACGGGAATAGATGTTGCAATGATAGTAGTCGCTGTTTCTGCTGCACCCCAGATAACTAAGGGCACGCCGTCGACTAGTGGACACAGCTCTATTAGTTTCATGACACAAAGAATGGGAGCAAATGGTATCTTGATATAGTTGTGGACTCACAAGTGAAGTCCCCGCTTGCCAATGTATGAATTTTAGCAGATTTAACGAAACCAGTCACACCGGCGCTGGGTTTACTCGTTAGTGTTGTTTGTACATTGATTGGATAGTTTTGAATGACATAGGCAGAGCTTACAATATACCCATACTCATAGCAATCGCTACGCCTAATTTCTCCTTTTTCGTCATCTGTAGATTGATGATGACAGCCCAGGGCAACATGGCAAGACAGATGTCCATAACACCGGAGTAGACTTAAGAGACCACATATCACTCGTTAACTTCGTTGCATTAAAAAGGGGTGAAGAAGATAGAATTATCATGCGCACCTCCGGAGAAAGTGTTGTAAGTGGGGACAACATTCTTGTCCCAGCATGTCCCAAGTACAGACTTGTCCCATATCCTCGTAACGGGAGTACATTGAATCCAAGTGAACAGCGCTGACAAAAGCATGAAGACGTTCATGCTTACGATGACCACCCAGACAGTGATCTTGGTCCAGTCTTTCGTAATGCGAAGAAGCGTGGTTGCAAACGATGTCTTGCTAAATAATGCACCAAGGATAGAAAAGAATGCTGTGACCTGCCCGAGCAAGCCAAGCTCAAATAAATTGGCCGGGTCGATCTCGAAAACATGACGACCAAAGCCTAGTTGCACTTCGACTGTTGTTGATGCGCTGGGAACAATGAGGAAGAACTGTGTGTTGAAGTCCTGTCAGCAAGACCGGGCTTTTATGGGGAGGGAAGGAAGCAAGTGTGCAAAAGGATATTCATACCCAAGAAACGATAAGCAGCCAATCGTCCCACCAAAGCCCACGATTTCGTGCCAGTTTACAATATACTCGAAGGGCAAGGACCACTCCTGAGATTGCCGATAAACTCCAAATGACGGCAAGGACCTGCTTGCCCATATATGAGATCCCGTTTTGATAGTGGTTGCTCATTCTAGTAGAGATCGACTGTAGACCTAAATACTTTCAGGACCCAATCTTTAACCTCTCGAAACTAATGATACTTCTTTTATGACTTGCAGCATTGGCCAATATCAAAGTTAAAGTAGGAAGTGATCAGCACATCAAGAGCACCGTTAAGGGAAATTCTGGGCCATTTAAGGACACATTGATCGGTGGTTCGAGGATGAGGAGACGATCAATCTTGCAGCTCTTGCTTAGGAGAGACCACCCATCCTGATTTGATCCTGCTACAACGCGCATTCACCACCAACAAGAGACAAGGAACCGGAGATGCTACGCTACGTGACAATATACAGGGAATCTTGCAGATTCGACTGCTGCTGT